CATCATACCCCTGCACGGCCGGTGAACTGGCTAAGTTGGAGCGTGTACAACGTGCTGCCACTAGACTCGTTGTTGGACTACGCGGGACCAGCTATGAAGGTCGTTTACAGGCTACTGGTCTGTTCCCAATTGCGTATCGACGCCTCAGGGGAGATCCCATCTGCCTGAGGAAGATTCTGAGAGATGATATGGGCCCGGAGCTGCAACAGTACTTCTATTTACGGACAGAGGATCGCACGCGGGGGCACTCCCTCACGTTGCGGGAACTTCAGTCAGTTGGTCTTCCGTTAGTCTACTGACTCTGGAATTCCCTTCCAGCGATTGTGGTGGAAGAGAAGACAGACGCTGCTTTCAAACGGCGTCTGGATGAGCACCTGAAGGGGCTATGGAGGAACGAACACTTGTGATTGAACCTTCGAACCAGCGGTGATGGGGCTTACACGGGCACCCTGCCCTCTGCCCTCACTCCTGAAGAGTGAAGACTCATATCATTGAAATAAATCATGTGAATCACCATACACTCCACTGTGAACTAAGTCGATACTCCATTTCGCAAACTTAACAGTTTCAATGCATACGAGGTACGAGATTACAGCCGCATGATAATACAGTATGATGAAGAAACTCGGTCCATTAACATGGATTCGTATATAGCATAACTATCGTGAGATGTAGCAAAATGAGCCGAATTGAAAATTTAAATACGGTGTAAACGTTTGTGATGGCCGACAAAGAGCACTGGACAGCAACGCCTGGTGTCTGTGACGAAACCGAATGAGTTAATCCAAATATTCAGGGTCTAAGACAATGGTAAATATTTGATTGTAACGTATTGATTATTATGTCCTCGAGAACTAAATCACCGAAAATAGTCGTTCAATTACTATTCGTGTTCTGATTACAAAACAAAGTGGTTTAATTTCGTCAGTTGAAGATATCCAATGATTGCAACTATTCTGTATTCTCTAAAACACTGCGGTATAAATTGTGATGTATTAGCCGGCGACTGAATCACCAAAAACTAACCTGTTCGCTACTGTGTATGACAACAGTATATTCGGACAAATAACTGGAATGGATTCAATAAATTGGAACGATTATCACCCTCATTGAGCGTTTTCTCCGATATTCAGTGATATTGAAAACGCTTGTTTATAAAATGTCATAATAATCAAATTCACATGCATAACTGTTTTTGTGCAGAAATTTACCAGATAACGAGCCAAGGTACAGATTAAGCATTTTTTATGCAGAAATATTTCAACGTTTTCCTCCGGATTTGACAAAGATGCGGTTAAATGTTGTCCGCGATCAACCTAGTATAAACAGCAATATCTGAATGCTTATTTCACTCAAAAATTCTACCACATTTCCTTAAGATACAGAACTAAGACGATTTATAACAAATAAACAGGATAAACTGCAGACCATGCACCTAGTGGGAGATGCTTGTCTTTGAATCAAATAAAATCAGCGATTTCCAAGTGTTCTGTGTAGATTTATGGTAGTAAGAAGGATTTGTTCTGTGACTCGGCAAGAGAGGGGAAAACCATTAGGGCTTATGACGTGACAATAATTCAGATTTCACCCGGGAACGAACAAAAAAACGCAATTCAGATGGGAGAACAACCCCCTTTCCCTTCGTGATAGTTCAACAGCGAACCACGTTGAACAACACGAGAACATTGATGTTCTCAATAAGCGAACAGGTATAAGCAGAAGTCAGCCACTCCACAAGAACCGAATGTCACATCGGCTGTTTATTAGACGACTGTAAATAAATTCCTAAGCTCGGTTAACAGATTAAAATGAAGGACAAACCGTTTTGTGAACCTCAGTCACACGCTCATTCGTTTACAAGACTCGTAGGTGATTTTCGAACCCTTGTCATAATTTAAAATTGACTACTTGTGAGTAGGCATACATTAATTCCGACGAAATTAGTTGTCTTTTGTTTAGTACATAAAACACAATGTATCAAGACCGAAACAAGACATGTGTCGCGAGATGTTATTATTTCGTTTAATCTTCTCAATCGCTGATTTAAAATAAACAGACATATTTATAACACATTGGATTATTAAATCCTAGTGAATGGACGTGTACAATTAGACAGGGACTATTATAATTAAAAACATAGGTCAACTCCACGGCAAGTGAACTGATCAAATCAATAACTTTTGGGCGCACAGAACGGGATTATGTAACCTGATTGGCAACGCCTCACTTATCGTCAACAGTTTTGCATTGCAGTGATCAACTGTGTGTTTGGCAGTCATGAGGTGTTTTACAGTTGATGACCCCGGGTTACGTGACCGTTTAATTACTGGGCTTGGGTTGCGTCATCGACTTCACCAACCACTTTGGAATATGTTCGGCCATCCGTTGTGATAATTGACGGTTGGTTCTGCCTATGTATGCGTCACCGCAACTGCAGGTGAACTAGTATACAGTGTGTGTGAGACATAACTGGATTGCCAATCATGTACACGTTTGTCCAAGTCGATTCCGCGAGTAGAGGTAATAAGTCGAAATTGAGCAGCTTGGACTGCCGTTGAGAGCTGACTTTAAATTCTGGCGCACATCGTTTAGAAGGCGATTGTCCTTGAAAGATAGTTTGATATAAACGGCTTTCTGGGGAACAGTTGGCGATGGGTTACCTTTCTGAGATTGCTTACTATGAATATCAATGCATCTTTCGGGGAAATCGTTTTGTAGTAGCGTCTTCTTGAGGAATTCTTCTTCCTCTCGTAGTGTGTCTGGGGAGCAGATGCTTCTGGTTCGATGGAACAGAGTTTTTACGAGTCCACATTTGTAAGCTATGGATGCGAAGCTAGAGAACTATAGATACTGACAACACCATGTTGCTTCTCTGTAGATAGAACGCTGTAATGTGCCATCTAAACGTCTCGTAATTCTAATATCCGAAAATGCTAAGGAATCGTCGCTTTCTTCGTGGGATACGGAAAGACGTGGATGAACAGAGTAAAATTGTCTCAAAATGGATTCACGCTCCGTAAGAATAAAAAATATCGCCCACATAACGTCTGTATAAGGTGGACTGGGAGATATTATTAGCAAGATTTTGCTCAATTATTCCTAAAAATACATCAGCTAGAATCGGGCCTGATGGGCTGTCCATAGCTACGCCATCATCCTGTTTGTATGTTGCTCCTTCGAACGAATGTTTTCGGTACGTAAAAATATCAGTTTTCTGTTTTTAATGATAATAGTCCTTGTCTAATTGTGCATGTTCGTTCATTAGGATTTAAAAATCCAATGTATTATAAATGTGCTTGTTTGTTTTACATCAGCGATTGAGAAGATTAAACGAAATGTTAACATCTCGCGACATATGTGTTCTTTCGGTCTTGATACGATGGATAAAGGGAATCCAGTGTTACAAAATGCATTGGACACATCCAGATTTGAAAATTTCATTAGCATGTTAGTTTCTCCGAGAATGATATGATTTGTGTGATGGTGATACTATAGGAAGAGTCCAATATGCATTCCATTTTTATCCGAGTGCATTTGCCGCCTAACAAGCCAATGAGCGATATGAACCATTCTCGTTCGTTACAATGATGCGCAGATCGATGGATTCAAGTAGATATTCAATTAGCTTGTCTAATCCGAAGTAATTTCAACAGTAAGGTCTCTTAAACAGTGCTACGATTCGTCATTTTCATCAATAAAATAACTGAAACTTGAGACCTGGCAGATGGTTGGCACTCAGTGGTGTAATAACGCTCCAATTATTTGGCAGTATTTATTCAGGTGAAATGTTTACCGTTTAACCTATTTTCAGTGGGTAATATTTAATTCAAGATCTGCGGTTTTTGTATTTACTAACACGTTGGATTCATTGTCGAATAATTTCTCTCTGAATTTAATGAGTGCATCAAACAGAAGATATCCATAACCGATGATTACAGGCAACACCAATGACATCAGCAAATGCATTGAACCAACCAAATTACCTGTAGTCAGCAGCATAAATTGGTCGTAGATAGTGTTCCGTGGATGTCAATTGATCTGTCAGGCTGTCAAGACGTTCCGCGGAATAGGACAAGAGTAGTTGGAGAAATTCTGTCAGGTGTTTTGCGCCCTCGGAGCAAGCCGCGAATCTGTCAAACAGCTCGGTCAACAATTTTCGCGAAACTAGAACACAGTGGTTACAGGTGACTATCCATTTGGCATCGAGAGAGTAAAGTTGATCCAACACCCAAACCGTGTTCTTCGAGCAAAGCTGAAATCGAACCGGAGGAGGACGATGACGGTGGGTGGGCATTTATAAAGAATCTAATGCACCATCGGCAGTAAGCTGTTGTTTTTTCATTCATAGTAAATGCCATTGTCCACAGATGATCCCCACACAGCTTACTAACTTCGTATCAGACAAGGTTTTCTGACATATTTTTAGAAAGTAAACGAAAAATATTCGCTGGCGTAATTAAAACTTTAACAACGAGATAGCGTCCGCTCATATGAATTTCACGCAAAATAGTAATGGAGGGTGGCAGTCTTGCGGACAACGGTGCTAATGGTTGGTTTTGTAGCCCCGGTTGTATGACTTGGTGTTCAGTTGTTCGTCGAGCTTGGTATCCCCATCGAGTTGATATTCTCACTTCACTAACTGCAGTTTATACTAATGGTGACCATTTGAAGGTACTGATAGAAGATAATCTGCAGAAAACTATGCGAGTAATTGCTGAGAAGTTTTGGATCGCAAATTGGAGGCGTATCGACGCACCTGAAAAACTTGGCTGGCCAGGTCGGCTCCACATGAGTAGAGACAGTTCGTTTATACACATCACGATCATTCGCAAGCTGCATTTTTTAACGCAGTGAAAACAACCCATTTCGACTGAGGAGATTAAACGAAATGTTAACATCTCACGATATTTGTCTCCTTTCGGTATTGATGAAGTGAATGAAAGAGATTCAATATTTCAAGTACATTATCTGTTAATTTCCAATCAAAAGACTCCCGCCAAGTCAGATCTATTTCGTAATAAAATTTATCTCACACAATTAGTTACAAGTAACTGTGAGTTAAATGCGGAAGAGATTTGTCTGGTCTAATTGAGCACCGTCCTATCTAGTTTGTCCGAGAGAGATGGCATTGACAAAACATGCTACTGAGTTCAGTGCTCTGCACATGACTAAGAGAGATGTAACGGAAGAGGTCATATTACGAATGCTGTAAACAGTTGGAGCAATCTTGACTGGCACAGAAACCTTTATGTTCCCCAAAACAGCCATTGAAACACTGGGTTCTCCATGCTCATATGGTTACAAACCGATGAATCAATTTGTATTGATTGTTTGGAACTGAACATCCTTCAGGCCTCACCTTTATGCCCATTCATCAGCTCCTTCAGTCAACCATACACTCGGAGGCATTAGACACGAGTTTCAGTCGTATTGAACTGACTGACTATCTCTGAAGACGACACCTAACACCCCGGCATGAGCTAGGTGGCACAGCGGTAACAGACGCCGTCCATGCGATGGGTCCGGANGGAGTTTACATTTGGGACGGTGGATAGGCACTATTGATGAGCTCTAATAAGAGCGAAAATTGAGTCTAGTGCTTCCGATTGTGTGGTTGACCGGAAGAGCTGAGGAATGTGCATGAAGGTGAAGTCTAAAGGATGATCAGTTCCAATCGACTAATATCAATTATTCCTCAAAACTACTCGAAAGTAACTGTGATTTAAATGCTAATC